TATTTTTTTTTTTTTTGAGACAGTCTCATTATGTCACCCTTGATAGAGTATTGTGGCATCATAGCTCACAGCAACCTCAAACTCTTGGGCTCAAGTGATCTTTGTTTTTAAATTATTTTTTATTTTTTATTAAATCATAGCTGTAGTGCAGTCATGAGGTACAGTATGCTGGTTCTATATACAATCTGAAATATTTTCATCAAACTGGTTAAGATAGCCTTCATGTCATTTTCTTAGTTATTGTGTTAAGACGTTTATATTCTACATTTAGAAAGATTCACATGTACCCTTGTAAGATGAACCATAGGCATGGTCCTACCAATCACCCTCAAGTGATCTTCTAACTCAGTCTTTCATTTTTATTTTATTTTATTTATTTATTTATTTATTTTTTCTGAGACAGAGTCTCAAGCTGTTGCCCTGGTTAGAGTGCTGTGACGTCACAGCTCACAGCAACCTCAAACTTTTGGTCTTAAGCGATTCTCTTGCTTCAGCCTCCTGAGTAGCTGGGACTACAGGTGCCCACCACAACGCCTGGCTATTTTTTGGTTGTAGTTGTCATTGTTGTTTGGCAGGCCCAGGCTGGATTCAAACCCTCCAGCTCTGTTGTATGTGGCTGGCACTCTAGCCACTTGAGCTACAGGTACCAAGCCGACAGTTTTCATTGTTAGTAGAGACAGGGTCTCACTCTTGCTCAGGCTGGTCTCGACCTCATGGGCTTAAACCATCCACCCGCTTCGGCCTCCCAGAGTGCTAGGACTCGAGGTGTGAGCCACCGTACTGGACCTGAAACTGAATTCCTATTAAACAATATTTTCCCCTTTCCCCAGCCCTAACAACCACTATTCTACGTTCTATCTCTGAATTTGACTCCTTTACTTACTTTTTTTTTTTTTGAGACAGAGTCTTGCTACGTTGCCCTTGGTAGGGTGCAGTGGCATCACAGCTCACAGCAACCTCAAACTCTTGAGCTTATGTGATTCTCTTGCCTCAGCTTTCCAAGTAGCTAGGACTATAGGCGCCTGCCACAATGCCCAGCTGTCTTTTTGTTGCAGTTGTCATTGTTTAGCTGCCCCCAGCCAGGTTTGAACCTGCCAGCCTCGGTGTATATGGCCAGTGCCCTACCCACTGAGCTATAGGCACTGCCCCAGCAGAATGTCTTCATGGTCCATCCACGGTGTAACTTGTGTTGGAATGTCTTTCCTTTTGAAAGCTGAATAACATTCTGGTACTTGTATAATCCACATTTTGTGTAGCCTTGCATCTGCCAGTGGACATTGGGTTGCTTCTGCCTTTTGGTTAATGCTGCAATGAACATAGGTGTACAAAATAGTTCTCTGAGAACCACTTTCAATACTTTTGGGTTTATTCAGATATGAAATTTCTGGACCATATAGTGATTGTATTTTTTCTTTTTCTTTTTTTGAGACAGAGACACAAGCTTTTGCCCTGGGTAAAGTGCTATGGCATCACAGTTCACGGCAACCTCCAACTCCTGGGCTCAAGCAATTCTTCCGCCTCCACCTCCCAAGTAGCTGGGACTACAGGTGCCTGCCACAACACCCGGCTATTTTTTGGTTGCAGCTGTCATTGTTGTTTGGTGGGCCTGGGCTTGAACCCGCCAGCTCAGGTGTATGTGGCTGGCGCCTTAGCTGCTTTAACCACAGGCACTGAGCCTGTATTTTTTCTTTTTGAGACAGAGTCCCACTCTGTTGCCCAGGCTAGAGTGCTGTGGTTTCAGCCAAGTTCACAGCAACCTCAAGCTCTTGTGCTGAAGTGATCCTCTTGCCTCAGCCTCCCAAGTAGCTGGGACTACAGGTGCCCACCACAACACCTGGCTAGTTGTTTTTTTTTTTTTGAGACAGAGTCTCACTATATCACCCTTAGTAGAGTGCTGTGGCGTCATAGTTCACAGCAACCTCAGACTCTTGGGCTTAAGAGATTCTCTTGCCTCAGCCACCCAAGTAGCTGGGACTACAGGTGCCCACCACAATGCCCAGCTATTTTGTTGTTTTTGTTGTTGTCTCAATTGTTTAGCTGGCCCTGGCCGGGTTCAAACCCACCACCCTTGGTGTATGTGGCTGGTGTCAGAATCATTGTGCTGCAGGCGCCAAGCCAAGTTTTTCTATTTTTATTTATTTTATTTATTTATTTTTTTCTATTTTTAGTAGAGATGTGGCCTCTCTTGCTCTTGTTCGGGCTGGTCTTGAACTCCTTAGCTCAGCAGTTCCAACTTCCCCAGCCTTCCAGGGTACCAGGATTATAGCCACTGCCCCTAGGCCCAAAACGCTTGTTTAATCAAACTTAGGTGAAGTTAAGCACTTCTTTTTTTTTTTTTTT